CTATACGATTTTTTATATACAAATTATTGATTAAATACTGAAATATTCCAACACTGGGAATTTGGGTCGATAGCATTCGATCTGCACTAAGAAGGATTTAACACACATGGCATTGATCACCACTCAGTGATCAATTAATTACCATTACATCTCAGTCCTACAGGAGGTCGACTGCGACCCGGATAGCTCAGTGGTAACGTCTCTGACTATAAGTCAGGGTGACACGGGATCGAACCAGTCAGGGAGCACCAGTTCCCTCAAGGTTGCAGGTATACCTTGCTGAAGAGTGCCAAGTAGCACGAAACCCCTGTCCAGAGTTTCGTGCTGACTACCTTCAACTACTATCTTATCTCAACATAGTGCACGCAATGTCGAGTCACCTAGACTGGTAACCACATTACAACCTGGTCGATAACATTCGATCTACACTAATAAGGACTTGACACACATGACATTGGTCACCACCCAGTGATCAATCAATTGTGACTAGTCTGTATATTTCTTGCAATTAATTCGTATATTAAAATATATAAATCTATCAATCAAAAATAATTTACTAGTCATCGATTGTAATACTCAATTGTAATTGGTGTAAAACTATTAGATATTTGATACCTATACGATTTTTTGTATACAAAGTACTGATTAAATATTGAAATATTCCAAAATCGGGAATGTTTAACTTCTCAGAATGATCAAATCTCATTGACTGATAAATGTGAAATAATAATTATTTTGTACATGGTAAAGAAAAATAATTATGTAATAATAGAATAGAATAAAATGGTGGTGAAATTTTGTAGCTACCTGAAGTTTGTACTGATAATGTCATTCAGAAGAACAATGATAGTTCCATGACTAAACCATTCAGCTCAAAGAACAAAATTCCATTAGAATATAATAAAATAAGTCAATGATGATATTAAATAGAACTCTTTGAAACAAAATGAAACCTGTATTTTTTTTTATATATATCTAAAGTTAAATGAAGTGATATATCATTATTCATAGAATAATTAGTTAGATAAACATGTTTCTAACCATTTCTTTTTCTTTTTAAAAAGATGAGATCTACCAATTATGTTTTTGAATACATAATTCTTGTCAAACATTCTAATGAATTAACGATTATATTCTGGAAAATGTTTAAAAACAAAGAGATACTCTTGTATATCATATAGAAGATATTTAAATCAATAATAGTGGACTAAGTTTATTAATCATGTTAAAATGAAGAATTTAACTGATACACTCGAATTGAATAAATGAGCGATATTAAATAACAACTAATAAGAGGGAAAAAATAAACTTTGAATTTAATATATAAAATCGTTTCTTCTACTTTCGATTGTCAGCAATAGGCTTTCTATATATATAAGACCAATAAATAGTACGTTTTGGATATTAATGATCGTCATTAATTGTTTATACTATACAACTGTCTCAAAAATATGAAATAATAAGTTCATTTTTAAATGTCATATAAAACATTATTTCATTTATTTGACTGACTGGTATTTATTCCCATACGTTTTTTAACTGTAAGCACTTATCTAAAGTAGAATCATCAACTTTAATTATATTCAATCCCCATAAACTAATTTATTTAGAATGTAAGTCATTATCTAAAGCTGCCTGCTTAAATATCTGGGCTACCTGTTCCTGCTATCAAGATATTTTAACAAGTCATCAGTTTCCTTATTTGTCTTAACAGATCACTATATCAATTAATTACATAATCTATTCAGATGCGTCTGTGAAATGTTTACTGCCTTTCGCTGTACAATTTGCAAAAACATGCAATCATAGACATCATGATGGATGCCAATACTATTTAGATGTCGACTTTTGAAATGCTAATACCTAATTGCCAATCAATGAATATTTATCATCAAAATCGATCAAGAAATAAGAAACAGAAACTAGCTGAAATACTTTGTGCTGAGAATTCTATAATGCACCGAAAATATAATACTGAATGAAGCTAATGATAAAAATAAACTTCTAATAATAATGTTATTAAAGTAGTTGGGATTATGAGTATATTGGAGCTAGACAACCATGAAAAAAGTTGAAGCATTGGACGGCCGTTTCGTCCCAGTATGAAACTCCTCAGCAATACATATCCACGAAACTCGAACCCAGGACCTACCAGTCTCGAGTGTGAGTGCTTAACCACTAAACCGCTGAGCCGATATCCAACTGTGTCAAGTTCTAATTTCAACCAATCCAAAAGATTAAGCTACATATCCATCATGTTATAAGTCAATAACGAATGAAACATATATCCTTATTGTATATTTAGCTAAAAATATAAATTAAATATTGAAAATAATAATAAAAATTCAAATCATTTTTCGTTAATCAAATAGCAATGTACTTGAATCAATCTTTCTTTTCTCATAATTATTGTTAGACAGTTACTATGGAATTCAATTATTTATATATAGTAAATATCAAGCTGTAATTATGTAGCAGTATACTAAATTCGTATAGTACTTAATATTTCATTTAAATTGAATGAATTATCACAGAATCATTGAAACACTCAATTACCTAAGTAATAATAAACATTTCACAATCAATTAAAAAATGTAAAATCCTTATTTACATTCATTCAATTTACAATACTAATAAATCTATCGAACAGTGAATTTTACAAAGAAAATTAAATGACAAATGTACATATTGTCTTTCCTTTAACTAGAATATAGTGGATTAAGTAAATAATTAAAAGCTTTTTAAACTAATTAAAATTATTTCATTCGATAAGATCTAGTTATTTCAGAAACGCCCATTAATATTACCAGAAAATAAATATGTAATACTTCACTATTGTTTGACAATTGAAGATCATATGGAAATCAAAACAACTATCTGTCAACCAATATCAAAGTCACAATCTTCAATACGAATGTCACAACAGTTCTACTGTATGGAGTTGAAACTTCGAGAAATACTACAACCATCATCAAGAACGTACAAGTATTTATAAATAGTTGTCTACACAAGATACTTAATATCCGTTGACTGGACATCATGAACAACAGCCAACTGTGAGAGAGAACAAACAAGCTTGCAGCTTAGTAGGAAATTAGGACAAGATATTGGAAGTGGATAGGACATGCATTGAGGAAATCATAAAGTTGCATCAGGATGAAATCGCTAACCTGTAATGCTGAATAGAAGCGGAAAAGTGGAATGCCAAAGAACACATTACGTCGAGAAATCGAAGCAGATATGAAAAAGATGAATAACAAGCTGAAAGATCTGGGGAGGATTTTTACGGACAGGGTTGGATGGAGAGTGCTAGTGAGCGGTTTATGCTCCTCCACGAGTAGTAACCGGCGTAAGTAAGTAATTGTTTGACAAGTTCTATATGGCTAAATGACAAAATACTATATGGGACAAATTATTGAATATGTACACTTGAAAATATTTCGTAAATGTTAATGGATCACTAACAAATATAACAAATAAACCTTATTTAGATCAATTGTTTTCTAGTTTTTATTATCAAGAATTAAAATGATTGACATTTATACCAATAACCTTAATATATATAAATTAATTAAATGAAGGTTAGTCATTAAACGATCACTTTCTTCTTTGATGTGGTTGTATGAATACAGAGACAAAACAATACATCAAATGTTTAACATAATATCTCCTATATAAACTGATTCAAAGAATTTATGATGGGTAATCGTAAACACTAAATTAAGATATTCACTAGCAGAATTGATCGATTACCGATAGCTTTCTAAATTTGAATATAAAAACTAGTTTTCAATAATTTTCAGTGTGTTTTGTTTCTACATTCGGATCTCACGGTATGTGACATACAGATATGATCCGATGAGAGGCTAAGTACTCATAATAATTTCTCATTTAAATAGATAGTATATCAGACACCATCAATCTTTCCTAAAATATCTCTACGCAAATATAATTGCTTATCTTACTATGATCTTAATTTCTAAATATATAATTTACATCTCTTTATTACATTTTCATTTTCAGAAAAGCGTTTCATGGAGATTTTCATAAATTTCAATAGCTGAAATCATGAGTCGATTGATGCTAGACCACTATGGAAAACCTGGAAGCACTGGACGGCCGTTTCGTCCCAGTATGAGACTCCTCAGAAGTGCGCATCCACGATCCCTCCCCTCGAAAGATTCGAACCCGGGACCTATCAATCCTGTGGAGTGGTTGCAGTTACACAACAACATCGCTGGAAGCCAGCTCAATGGTCTAGTGGTTAAGCGCTCGTGCGCGAGACTAATAGGCTCTCGCGATGCGCGACCGTGGATGCGCACTGATGAGGAGTCCCATACTGGGATGAAACGGCCATCCAATTCCTTCAATTTTTCCATGGTAGTCCAGCTTTATTTGACTCATGATTTCAAATACTGACATTTTCATTTTCTTGTAATAAAAAAAGTATGTGATTCAACGTATTGTCCCTAAAATAAAACTTTCAAGATAATAAATATTTAATTTACAAATGAAAGCTTGCCTAATAATTTAATTTATAGAATTAACTGAAAGATCATTTTGTTGATTAACAACAAATATAACACTTCAATAGAATTATTAATTACCAACAAACTGTAAACAATTAAATATAATATCAATTGACTAGTAACCATGTGTATATAAATTAACTTAGTAAAATGATTTTATTGGGTTCATTTTTGTAACCTTTAGAATGTTGGTAATATTACTGTCAACTGAATATAGTATCTACAATCAACTAAACATCATATGATCTTGTTGAAGGGTTAGATTAATTCCTTAATTCATTTCAAATAGTTCTATTTTGATTTGTTTTTGTTGTTGTCATTGTTGTTGATAAAACAAACAAACTGGTTCAAACATCAATTGCTGGTAAAAATAGATTAACATAATTATGTAAGAAAAAAATTTCAGAAATTATCGTATAAAAGTTCATTCTTAGATAAGATTTTAATGAGATCAATATAATTTTCACTTACGCCAATAAATACATTTGGAACTCGAGTACAAAATCCACATATTGCATTATTCCAAAACCACATGTTCATTTATTGATAAATGTAATAATGTTATCAATAAATTTATTATTGAAATTTCATGTTTTTCATGAAATACGTACTACATTATTATTATTATTATTATTATTATTATTATTATTATTATTATTATTATTATTAGAATAATACTTATCCATATTAAATAAAATATCCTTTAAGTAAAATCACTTTTTGTCTTTCTGAATCAGTTTTTTTTTAATATTTAAAATTTTTTGATAAATTTTTAACCATTTGAAATAATCTCATTGGATCAAAAAAACTGACCAATCATAAACGAATCAAAATATAATTTGTGAAAAAGAATTTTTTTTCATACTTAACAAATTCATTTGTTTATTTCAGAAAAATTAGTCCTATTTTAAATTACAAGCACAAATGATTTTAATTGGTTGTTTCATTAGAAATATTTAAAGTGAAAATAATCTAGAGTTTATATTTAAATGTATTCAATACTTGATTCTTTTGTATGTTGTCGTCAGTTGACTTACTTGCTTACGTATTTAGCCTCATCGAGGAGCATAAGCCGCCCACAAACACTCTCCATCCAACTCTGTCATGGAAAATCCTTTCCAACTATTTCCACTTATTATTCATTCTTTTCATATCTGCTTCGATTTCTCGACGTAATGTGTTCTTTGGCATTCCACTTTTCCGCTTCTCTCCAGCATTACAATTCAGCGAATGCCGAGTGATGCAGTTTGGTGATCTCTACAATGTATGTTCTATCCACTTCCGATATCTCGTCCTAATTTCCTACTAAGCTGCAAGCTTGTTTGTTCTCTCTCACAGTTGGCTGTTGTTCATGGTATCCAGTCAACGGATATTAAGTATCTTGTGTAGACAACTATTTATAAATACTTGTACGTTCTTGATGATGGTTGTAGTATTTCTCGAAGTTTCAACTCCATACATTAGAACTATCTTGATGTTCGTATTGAAGATTGTGACTTTCATATTGGTTGAAAGGTTTCGTGAGTGTCATTTGATAATTTACTGATAATATACAATAGGGAATTCTACTAGATTGTTTACTGGTGCTCAAGTAATAAGTATTCGTTCGTAAATGTGTACTTATGTCTAATATGTCCTACTTACTTTTGCTAATGTAAAAAACTTCAAAAACATCAAAAAGATATTTTTGTCATATTATCCATCTATATATCACTAATAAAGTCATAACATATAATGTGTGTACAATTTAAAGTATCTATTAGTTACGAACGTAGTTTTGTAATGCACCTTACTAAATTATAAAACTTGAGTATAAGGATGATTACTGATTCTTGACTCCACCTAATCACTGCTAACATACTGTGGAACTTTTGCTGAATAATTCGAAAATTATATGTATGTTACTCTTCAAAAACACTAAGTTGATCATTACGGGTTTGTACGTTGTGTTCAGCAGAGAATCAGAATGGAAGAAGGCTAGGGGAAGAAATATGAATATATAGCATAAATTCATGACTTTTAGACTCCACTTTGTGATGAATTACAAAACGTCTGGAGTCCCACCATCGAACATTTCAGACGTAAGTGCCAATTCGATAACTAACAATCAGTTAGAATCTTGATCTACTAATTTCATATTTTATAACTGCAGTGAAGGTGATATCTTATCTATAAAACCCTTATAACATTTTCGTCAATTCAGAAAGCATTAATGGCGTCTTTTTATCAATCAAAAGAATTTTAAAGGTAGTTTTATTCTCATACAGAATTCAGCTGATGATAATTTATAATTTCTCGGGCACTAAACCGTTCATTCGTCATACATTAAGACTACTCAGTGATAAACATGTTAGTTTTCATGGTTTGTGAAATATGTCTAGGTTAATAAATTATTATTCAATCTTACACAGTCGGTGGCCTGCTTTAATTATCTGGGCTACCTGTCCGTACCATCAAAATATTTCAATAATTTATCAGTTTCCCTGTTTGTTTTAACAGATCACTATGTCAATTAATTGCATAATCTATTCAGATGCGTTTGTGAAATGTTTACAACCATTCGCTGTACAAGTTACAAAAATTTGTAATTGTAGACATCGTGATAGCTTACAATGTGCGCTGATAAGAATTAATATTATTCAAATGTCGACTTCTGAAATGCTTATATCTAATTGGCGATCACTCAGTATTTATCGTCAGGATCGATCAAGAAATACGAAACAGAAACTAGCTGAAATACTTTGTGCTGAGAATTCAATAAGTACCAAAAATATTATATTAGATGAAGCTAATAATAATAAACTCAGTAAGCTTGAGATAATGCCAGCGACATTCACAGATATTAACAAAAAACGTTCGCCCTCCCAATAGTGCTGATACTACAGGTTATGGCTTCTCACAAGAGAATACGTAAATTCGTCTCAAAACCACTCAACAGTTAATACAATGCATTTATATACTTCATTTTTACATGACATGAAATTAAAAACCATTGTTAATAAGATAACATCAAAACCTATTTCATGTTGTTAGAATCCAATCACACAAAAAGGATTAAAATTAATAATTTCAAACCCCTGCGTTATGCTGTGCACACCTTCAAGTTAAATAAATTCCCATGACCCTTCTTACTAAAAGAGGTATGTCCTAACTTCGAATCCTGAAGGGGAGCGAAAAAGAAGAAGGTCAAATAACACATTACGTCGGGAAATAGAGGCCGATATAAAGAAGATAAATAACAACTGCAAAAAGCTGCAAAGTACTGTCCAGTACAGGATTGGATGGAGAATGGTGGTAGGCGGCCTATGATCCTCCACGAGGAGTAACAAGCGTAAGTGAGTAAGTTCTTACTAAAATAGAGGTAATAAATTTCAAGAATACGTCAAAAGTCTTCATCTCTTCAAAATTACTAGGCTTAGATTCATTACAATTTACAGGTAGTAATAAACGAATCACAAATAATCGACTGACTTTAACACAAATAAGTGTGACCCATTAGTTACATGAAGGTTAGCCACCAAAAGTAAAAAGTCAACAAGATCACGCGAAGAAAGTAATTTGGAAGAATTCAAAACAAAATCCAAATGTTAATTTTATAAACTAGTGAATTAATGAAGTCATCCATGCTACAGCTAATGAAAACTCTTTACGATTAATTAAATGCACATGTAAAATGACTATTAGCCTTTACTTTAATGGTATATGGTATATCATGGTCGTTATGAGAATTACCAGCCTTAAACTAATCCTTGTTTAAATCTAAAACATTATTTGATGAGTAGTTTCAATTGTAGACATGTTCCTCAATTACTAGCAGGTTTTTAGTTAATAACCAGTTTGATATGAAAATTCATTTGATCTTATTCATTGACGTAAATGTAAATATTTCGTGAACGCTACCAGTCGTTGAAAATCATAACGAACAAGTAACTAACTCAGCCCAATCACATGATTTAAACTAAACATATAAACAACAGACGACAGACGTCGTTTAACCACTGGCCAACAACAGAAATTAATTTGTTACTTATAATTTAATTTAATAGTAATAACTCAACCTCCCCCTTAAAAAAATGAAATAAAGGAATTTCTACACTCAAACACATTCAAAGCACTTTCATCATAAACCTTACTGGTACTTTTCTTTTAAACAAACTGTTAGTAATTAATGTCATTCAAACTATCAATATTAACTAAACTATATATATATATATCACAAAATCACGTATTTCGCTACACTTCACAACTACAAAGAGCGAGTATCCAGTTTGTTTATTTGTGACTGTTTTTTTTTCGATTCACCTTGCCTTTTGTCTCATCAATAGTTTACCTAATTCTATAGTGCTTATATAAGTATGTCTGAATGAACAAATAGATAAGTATATCACATAATAGTGTTCCATTAATTATTTATCATCTATACAAGTAAACAGAAAAAGAAATAGTAACTAAAAATGACTATAATACTAATAATAGTGATATTTCTCCCATGAATTTATCAATTATTCTAACGAAAGACAAACATCAAATCATAAATGAAGTTATATTGACGAAAGCAAAAAAAATCATTCATATCATTTGATGACATATAAACTTTATGTGTACAATAAAAGGGATTGTTTTTATGAATAGTCAAATGAACACTTAAACAATATAAACAATTAATTATCTCATTTGTTTTCTAAAACGGAAAGATTAAAAATCTGATGTAATGAAATAAATAATAGCGGAACACTAAGTTTTTTTAAACGATATTACTTTTGAGATGGTGGAGATTTGTAGCTCAGGTGGATGATTTTGATGGAGTTTTGTTCTCTGAGCTGGATGGTTTGGTCGTGGAGCTTTCATCGTTCTTCTGAACGACATCATCGGCACAAACTTCTATCTGAAGTTTGTGAAGTTTGTGCTGATGATGTCGTTCAGAAGAACGATGAAAGCTCCACGACCAAACCATCCAGCTCAGAGAACAAAACTCCATCAAGATACTACACTTCTTATTCACTTAGTATTGTGTTGGAAATTAGAATTATTTCATGTAGTTTATTTGTATGTTTGTTTGTTTTTTCAACACAATTTCGATATAAATGTATTTTAGTTCTGCACGTTATTATGTGGTGTGTGCTACTGATCATGACAGATATAAGTAGTATGTAACATCAATCCAAAGTAAAATACCTGGAGGCAAAAGATTAAGAAGATCAAAGAAAAGATCATGAGAACAAAGAATAATTGTTGTGGAAACAAAAGAACAATGAAGTCCGAAACAATTCATTGTCATTTGCAGAAGAAACAGTCACGTTTGACACAACTGACTGATATTTTGTTAACGAAGTATTTACTATATGATTCTCAGATTTTACTAAAATGCTTAAGTACATTTGATTGTTCCTACTTGTTTTCTTGTTCATTACAGTGATAATTTTTTTAAAAATTTTCCAGTTGGTAAATGTGAACGATTTAATGTACATGTGATCGTATTACTGATAACAAGACATTTACGTCACACATTTT